TCACAAAAACCGTAGTGCGTTTTACTTATAAAAAAAAAAAAAAAAAAAAAAAAAAAAAAAAAAAAAAAAAAAAAAAAAAAAAAAAAAAAAAAAAAAAAAAAAAAAAAAAAAAAAAAAAAAAAAAAAAAAAAAAAAAAAAAAAAAAAAAAAAAAAAAAAAAAAAAAAAAAAAAAAAAAAAAAAAAAAAAAAAAAAAAAAAAAAAAAAAAAAAAAAAAAAAAAAAAAAAAAAAAAAAAAAAAAAAAAAAAAAAAAAAAAAAAAAAAAAAAAAAAAAAAAAAAAAAAAAAAAAAAAAAAAAAAAAAAAAAAAAAAAAAAAAAAAAAAAAAAAAAAAAAAAAAAAAAAAAAAAAAAAAAAAAAAAAAAAAAAAAAAAAAAAAAAAAAAAAAAAAAAAAAAAAAAAAAAAAAAAAAAAAAATTGGGATCCTTGCTGAAAATTGTAGTGCAAAGTAGTGGGGTCGACTTTCACTATTGCAGTGATTGTTACTAAGTGAAATGCACTATAAATAATAACGCATGTGTTCTTTCGAAAAAAAAATATGTTGGAAGTCGTGGTTCGCACTACTCTGTGTATATACATATATCCGTTTAATCTATGTTCCTCAGCAAATTTGAATCTCAAAATTGGTCTCTGATTGTTGCCGTCACTCTTGTCTAAGTTGGAAAAGAAAAGATCTTATGATTTTAGTGAATCTTGCGTGCGATTTTTATTCCTTTTTCATAATTAGGCATGTTTGCATATGATTTCCTTTTTGAACGTGATCCAAGTATTTGTGCAGGACGTATTCATGGATAAAATCTGATTTCCTTCCTAAATTTCAAAATAATGTGAGTCGTTATTGATGTGGGAAGTTATGGTATGTTTGATTTTGGATTGTTGGAGGGATTAATTACACTAACTATTTTTGAATTTTCCCTCTCTCTCTCTCTCTCTCTCTCCTCAAACCGCTCTCATTACCACCTTGATTTTCGGAACCTACCTTTTTGCGGTTTTCTAAGATCCAATGTCTCTCAACTGCTCTCCTCACACGATTCTCTTTATTTTATTCCAGTTTATTGGTTCTTTCTTTTCTCTCTCTCTCCCTTGTTCATTCTCTCCGATTGAAACCCTAAATTCTCCTCTCTCAATCCTCGTTCTTCTCCCATGGCTGGCGGCAAAGACAAAGCCAAGCGACGACTCCAGAAGCAGAAAGAGAAGCGACTTAAGCGCCGCCGACTTTCCTTGTCCACTGGATCTGCACGTGAACCTTCGCCACCAGCAAAAGAACCGACCCCTGAATCTTCGCCTTCGTCAAAATCGGGTTCTCTAGCCTCTTCTCCGTCTGGTTCTCAGTCAAAGTCTGACACTGTCCGCAAGAATCTTGAAATCTCACCGCTGGCCACTGGAGTTCCAGGACTTTCTGGACGTGTTGACTCACTAGCCGTCTCAACTCAGGGGGAGTCATCTGCTGTTCCCACTTCTGCAACTAAGTCGGTCACCAAGACGACTACTACCGAAAGGGAAAAAGATGATACGGCGGCTACCACCGTTGAAGTCCATTCTGACCAGCCATCACCACCTTCAAGGGTTCCAGTTCGTCGTTCCACCCGCCGTCGTGGGAAGGCCATCGACGAGCCCCTTGTCCCTCCTGAACCTGAAGATGATGCATATGACCTGGAGAATACCTTCACCAATCGGTTCTATACAGAAGCTGCTCACGAACGCTTTATTAATTTTGGGTCTTATGAGTTCTGGTCGGAACATCCTGTGACTGATGGTAAGTTTGCTGAACTCGGTGTTCTTCGTCTGATTGAGCAAGTGGGTCTTTTGAAGACCGTGACTGATGTTAAGCCCTTTTGTGGTCAAGCTGTCAAAGAATTCTATGCTAACCTCACTCCTGCTGTTTTTGACCCTGATAGCCCTCGTTTTCATAAACTTTTTCTTCGCAATCGTGTGATTGATGTGTCTCCTGCTTTGTTTAATGTCCATCTTGGTTTGCCCTCTGATCTTGATAGCTCTTCTCTTATTGATCTTGATTCGGATGAAATGACCAAAGTTCTCACTTCTGGTCAGTTGGATACTTGGCCTGGTTCTAACCTTTCTGTGAATTCTCTTTGCTTAATTGCCAATTTGTTGCATAAAATTGGTGCTGGCAACTGGACCCCCACTTCAAATAAAACCCTGCTTACAGAGCTGCAATGCAAAGTCATTTATTGGGTCATGATTGGGAAAGTTTTCAGCTTTGGGGATCTTGTCTTTCAAATTCTTCAGAACTTTGTTGCTAACAATGAGTCTCGTAAAACTCTTCCCTTTCCTTGCCTCATTTGGTCCTTCCTGTCGGCTCATAACTTTTCTGTTAACCTTCGCTTCCAAGACTCTCTTGAGAACCCCAGAAAAGCACTCTCTGTTAGTGCTCGCACTTTGAATGAAAAAGGGATTTCCAAGGTCTCGAAGGAACTTGCTCCTTCCTTGGTCCCAAAGAACTGGGGAGAGTTTGTGGCTCAGCAACTTGGAGAATGGGATGATTTGGCCAAGAAGGTTGCTGCTCAACAGGCTTATCTTCGCCAAGTGTTGCAGGCTGTCAAGGGATCAACTCGGAACTCGGGGACAGGCCCTTCGGCATCCCGTAGTTCGAAAAAGGGGGAGAAGGTTTCTGCTGCTAGTAAGAGCATTGAGAAGGAGGATGAAGAGTCTGATGATGCCACTGAAAAGCTTGGAGATGAGGAGTAGGAGTAGTTAGCTTGGAGTAGTTTTTTGTTCTTTGTTTCTCTGTGTGTTTTGAGGATTGTAGAGAAACTTGTTATTTGCTGTTGGTTGTTTGCTGGTTGTTACTAAATTTGTTTTATGGGAATTAATGCAGTTGTTTTGTTGTCCTTACTGGAGAAGGAGGATGAAGAGTCTGATGATGCCACTGAAAAGCTTGGAGATGAGGAGTAGGAGTAGTTAGCTTGGAGTAGTTTTTTGTTCTTTGTTTCTCTGTGTGTTTTGAGGATTGTAGAGAAACTTGTTATTTGCTGTTGGTTGTTTGCTGGTTGTTACTAAATTTGTTTTATGGGAATTAATGCAGTTGTTTTGTTGTCCTTACTGTCTATGGTTGAAATGAATTTAGAAGCATTCTATTGAATTTTGATGACTGCAGGAACTAAGGGGGAGAACTGCTTTAAGGAGAACTTGTGATGTATTGAACTAATCTTGATTGCGTTTATCTATGGGTGCTTGTTGTTTTTATTGCTGTAGGAGACTTTCAAGTCTGATGTTTTCGAACTAGATGCCAAAGGGGGAGATTGAAAGATATTTTATTTTGGCATTAGTTCGTTAGTTCGAACAAGCACCTGGAACCACAGAATAAAAGGGAAGATCTTTGTATATTATGTTTTTCTTAAGTAATATCATTTTATATTTCATGTATAAATCCACGAAGATCTTATTACGGCTTTTATATGATAGGAAATTGCACGTGGAGAGATAAAGAGGAGGGAGAAAAGAGACATGCTAGGAGAGGAGATCAATGAGAGAGAATAGAAGATTTCTTGCCATAGTTATCCTATTATCTTGGAAGGAAATCTTGAATGAAGACCTATGCCTTGTAGAAGACTCCAACCCTAAGGAGATCATATATATACCCTAGAAGAAGCTTATGGCGGCCGTGGATTCAATACTGAGAAATATTGGAAAGCCATTCAAGCTTCACTTGCTTTCGGTTCTATTTTGATTGTATTCAGTTCAGTCTGAGAGTTCTTACAAACTCAAGGACTAGTACTGCTTTAGTTTAGTTCTTTATACATTTCATCAAAACTATTTTACGGTTTGTACACTTAGGGAATAAGTGTAGGCTTATAAGTCCACGGGACGTGGCCGGAGGATTAGTTGATAGGATCAAGTAGTGTTGGCTAGATTTGAAGGGAGTTCGAATCTTTGTAAGTCCATGCTATGTATACGAGTGATCTATCAATGAAAGAGCTCTGAGGGGAAGTGGGACGCTTCCCTGAAGAGTTTATTAATCTTCGGTTATTTGCTTCCGCATTTTACAATTCTTATTGTAGTTCGTACTAATACTCGCGCACTCCGTGACAATTATACGTTTCACCGGTTAACCGGTACTACTTTAAAACATCGCTAAATACATTATTCCAACAACAAAAACGAAATTAATCCACACATAGATAAGCCAATTATTTTTTTTAAACAACACAAATACAACAACCACCGTAATAGGAATAACAACAGAAATAACAGAAACATACAATGAGTATTAGGTAGAAGAATGACGCTCCACCAAATAAAGAAAAACAACGGGCTGCTCTGATATAAAATAGCTCAAGTCCTGTAATTTAAACACCATCTACTAACTAATGCTAATGATTATGATTAAGCTACACAAAGATATTGAAACCCAAACGTGTATATAATGAGAAATATTACAAAATAAGATTAGACTTTACTTATCAAACTGGCGAAAATCTCATCAAACTTCACCTCTTTCCTTCAATTTCCAAACGAGAGCTCACAGCGGCCATACTCTACAACAAGAGCAAGAAGAAAACTTGGTTGAACCAAAAACAATTGGACGTATTTATGTAGCCATGCCTCTATGTATGAAATGACTAATAAATAATAATTCACCAATCACAATCACTTAATATGCAAATTACAGCAAACTTCGGCAGATCGAACTTATTCCCGTGGGCCATGGGTGTTTTAAGTTTAACTATCCGATCACACACACACACACACCCCGCCCGTACGGGTGTTAGTCGATCGGACAGTTAAAGTCACCTCAAACTACATGTGTTGTGGGCCCCTTCTTCCCACATTCACCATCATTCGACATAATGTTACCTCGCGATTATTTTTTAACCGATTCTAACATTGCCTCTCATTGGCTGAGAGCATGCCTGACGTTCATGCTATCTTTGTTGTTAAAACCGGACAATTTTGTGTATTTTACTTTCTATTCTTGAGAAAAAAGTTTGACCCAACATTAGAATGGCAATATTTTCCACAAAATCAAAGTGAATGCATTTAAGAGAAGGTAAAGAGAATAAGAAGATGCTCACTCGGCTGCTCAGAGACGACATAGGCAGCTCCACCAAAGAAGCACGTTCCCCCGGTACGCTGATTCTTCTGATAATAGCTATTGAACGCATACGATGCGTGTGCCTCGAGCGTGTTGGGATTGAAGCACGTTGATCCCGGTTGGATAGTGTGGCAATCCGCTCCTCCTTCCCCACACGCATAGTCCAAGGCCGCCTGCAACTTCTCCGACCCCACATCACTCCTCGCCACACACCACGTCTGCCCGCTCCCCGCCGCCACCCTCGGCCGGCCTCCGCCAGTTCTTCCGCCACCAGACGGCGGACTCCGATTCGAGTTCGAGTTCGAGTTCGACCCATCTTTATAACCATTGAGCTCCTTGAGAGTAAGCGGGATGTCATATACTCTCCTCTCGTTCGGGTAAAACAGCCCGAAGTTCCTCTCGGATGTGGGCCCGGGCTTCTGGTTCTCGTTAAACAGAGCAAATAGGAACACTGTAAGTTTCGCGTTCGGCCGGAGAGGAGTCCCTGCCTGACCAGTCAGGACACGACGGACGAGGTTCCGATTGTATTCGGCTGCGTTCGAAGCTGTGGCCCCCACCTCGTTCGTGTCCCCCCTCGACGGCCACCCGGTCTCGCTGACCGTGATCGGGACATCGTCGTACCCAAGAGCTGACATGGCGGCGAAAACGGCGTCCACCTGCGCGTCGAACAGGGAAAAGTAGCTCAGCCCATTACCGCTGTCGACTTGGCCGGTGTTTGACCGGAAAAGCGCGTAATCGAGCGAGATTTTGTCAGCGTTCGACTCGTATGCGAAGAACGGGTACACATTGACCATGAGGGTCGACCCGGTTTTTCGGAGGAAATCGAGCATGGGCTTGAAGACCGTGTTGACCAGCTCCGAACGGAAGGAGCCAGCGGAGGGTGGGTAGGAGCTCTGGAGGGAGCTGAGGGCGATGGGGGACGAGACCTTGATCTGGCTGTCGAGGTTGTACTTTACGAGGGCATTCTGGATGTTGTACATTGCCGGGAGGAGGAATTGGGTGGTGTTTTGGGAGACCTCGTTGCCTACGGCAACGGCCTCGATTTCTGTAGACGGGCTGTAAGCAATGATGTTGTTCTGAACCCAGGAGAGGGCAAAGGAGGGGCTGCGGGCAGCGGTTGAGAGGAGCTCGTTAGGGAGGTTGATGGTGACTTTGATTCCGGAGCCAGAAAAGGCACGGAGGACGGTTTGGTCGGTGTCATAGATCTTGACCCGGTCCACGCCATGGGATTTCAGGAGCTGAACCGCTCGGTGTGGTGTGGGGAGGTTGTTGGCTATACGGCCGTAGTTTATGCCGACTGAACCACCGTCTGCAGATTCTACGAGTGAATGATTAAATGCATATACACATATAGAGGTGAATAAGAGAAATACACCAGCACCACTGCACCAGGTCCAATTTCAGATTAAGCGAATCTGGATATAACTTTTCACATAATTCCTATGCAATAACAAGCTCATTACAAATTCTCAGCAAAGATACAGCCAGGAAAGAAGCGAATCTGAATATGCATTCGCGTATTCAGAGATTCGACAACAAAGATGAGATCATCAGCTTTTGACATATAACGACATTAGAGCTAGAAAAATGACAATCGAGAAATCTGTAACAGTCTTAATCGAGAAACAAAGACGATTGATTTTAAGTTCTAGCTCGATGAATGCTAGAAAATCGAAATCTACAGACAAGCTCCAAAAATAACAATCGCAATGCGCGAGAAATTTTACCTGCAACGGAGATAATGGAGAAGATGACGAGCGGGAGCATGCAGAAGGTGAGGAGCTCCACTATCCTGCAGCCCAGCAGCACCACCACCGCCATTGTTGTGTTTTGTTCAGCTCTAGAGAGAGAAAATGAGGCACTGGTGACTGATGAGACTCTGCTGTGTGAAATGTGTGTGTGACTGAACAAAAATCCACAATGGAGACGGGTTTTTGAAGGCATCGAGGAGTAAGGACGTTTGTTTTTTGAGGAGAGAGAATGTGTGTGGTGAGTGGGTCCCGCCTACGTGGGTGCGTGGCAACATGGTCCACAATCCTGTACTGTACACCGGCACGCCCACATGGTCCCTCAGTCAAACGGGGACCCACATGGCTTGACCGTTTTTTCTACCATTTGTTGACTTATTTGTATGGTAAAAATTAAATTACTTTCCTAGTGAAATTATTTTGACTTAAACTAAATTGTTAAAAAAAAAAAAACTAAAAATTGTTAAAAATGGACGACTAGTCACGAGACATCATAATTTTCTTAATTTCTTTTTTTAGAAGGTATAGTGAATGTTGGTGTTGAACGAATGGTGGCGATTAGGTACACGTGTTGTATTGCGTCCTCGTGATTTACCTTGTGACAGAATCTATATAAATTTTTGTCAGCTTTGTTTTAATTACTGGTCTGGTCATCATGCCCATCAATAAAGGACTATTTTTTTACCTCAGTTGGGATCTTAGGTTACTGCTACCTAAGCTAAAAGAACTGCCAAATATTGAAGTCAAATACGATGACCTCACATCACTATTGGATTTTCCCAATCTTATTTTTGTGCAGAGGTGCAAATGAGTCGGCAAAACTTGAGTTTTTTTATACTCGACCACAAACTTTAACTGAGTCCAACTTTAACAAATCGAACTAAAGTAGTTATTCAGACTATATACTTTTTTTATTATTATTCTTGAGCCTTCAACGACTTTAGTTTGACTCGTTCACTAAGTGAGGATCGAACTCAGCTCATCCGCACCAATTAAGCCACTAAACACATTGGCCTCACATTTTTCTTGTTCTTACCTTTAAACACGTTTGAAACAAATATTTCCCTTTATTTTCTTCAATAAGGTATAGCGTGCCATACAGATAACATGCGAGTTGAATCTGCCGTATACTTATCAAAAAATAAAAGAGGAAGAAAGAAAGAAGAGATCAATAGATGCCATAAGTCTTCTTGAAAAGGTAGAAATAAGGTCACTTTTCTCTTTATGTATCTTCACAAAATCCAAAAGGTAAACCAAAACAAAATTTGTTGACAATGGACAAGAAACAATCCCAAAAATGTCCAAAGCCTACAAATGCTTTTACACTTCACTTTTCTTGTGTGCGTGATAAAAAGGAGATTTCTCACTAATAATCAATCTGACTTCAGAAATAACAATCCTATATTTCTGATTTAGTATGAAATCAACAATTATATGCGAATTTTTCAAATTGAAATGCATATTTTCACATTAATCAGTAAGAACATGCATATTTTAAAATTGAAATGCATATGCATATTTTAAAAACAACATAAACAAAAGGGTGACATTTCTGACATTTCATAGCAAACGTATAAATAGAAGTTTTAAAGCAATTTACAACACACCATTTGTGCATTTGAGCTTTCCTATCTACATCTACAGCAACCTGACCGAAATGTAAAACCGTACGGGGCTCCTCAAGAACGTCTGGCAGAACCATGCAACTGAGCAGGTCTCAAATTGTGCTCGTCCTAGAATTTAGGGATAAAATAGTCATCTACTATAATGGAAAATCATGAAGCGGTAATATACTTCACGGTAATGTACCATGTTGACACAACTAACCTGTCCATAAGTGAAAGATGACTGTCGAAAATCCAGATGCCCCTAATATATAAGTTGAAGAAATGAGAATCCTTATTAATCAATTACATGTTACAACTAATGAGTTTTTTCACATGAGGGATATAACATAACTTTTTGTAAATACATTGAACCTCAGGTGCAGTGTACCTCTTGTCATTAACCGTAAGATTATTACTGAGGCAAACAAATTAAAAGTAAAAATGTAACGGATTACAGTACCAGTCCAGGCATGGTTTGTTGAGACACGTAAAAATCATCATGGCTAGATGAAAGGGAGTTCAACTGTCCCTAAAAAAATCCAATCACAGAACACAAAAAATTCCGTTAAATTACTTCATGTGTAATAATTTAGCCATGACATGGAAGTCAACTATGGCATACCAGGCCTTGCATGCTCTGTTGACCAACATAGTAAGCATCATGAGGTGGCTCCATCAAATTCAACTAAACCAATAATAAGAGGTGAATCATTATATTCAGCATGGTACCAAAATCACACAATATTTTCCACTTGAATTATATGGTTCAAGAAAGCACGATAAATATACCAGTCCATGCACATGCTGTTGGGACCCGTAGTACCCATTTAAGGTAATCGCCTCCGAGCTTAAGGGCTCCTATGAGAGGGAATACAAAAACCTTATCAGCATAACCTTCACTCGAGTCAGAAACTACAAGAATATGTGATAATTTAAATTTGTTTAGTTCACTTTTGGCATATGAGATTCCAACCCGTGTCAATACTTGTGTAAAACATTTTTAAGGCCGTAAAAGGCCAAAACTAAAGAAATACTGACATGTACACAAATTACTATACGGCTCAAAAAAAAATGAGAGGATCTGCCTCAACCAGCACCTCTCATTCTGCCACTGTTACTTACCATTTGTTGTACACTGTCTTGAGTGTCAACGGTGCCTGCTTCTGGCTCGGGCTGTAACTGATCACGAAGATGTGTCAAATCAATGGCCCGAAACGTTATGTAAAATAAAAATGAATCAGAAAACAAAGAAAGAAAAAAATGAAAAAGGTGATAGCACATGTCCAACCTTCCTTTTCTTGTTTGCATTCTTCTTCCTATTCGTTTTGGTAGTGTATAGCAATTGATTCTCTTCTTCGGAATAACGGATCCCATTATTATCACATTCTACTGAACTTCTGTTATTGATATTCAGACTGCTCCTCAGAGCTTCAACCAAAGCACGACAAGCAATGTTGTAATTCTCCTCGGACAATGAACCTTCTTCTCCTAGCTCGATAGCACGTCTACAAATGTCATTGTACCTCTGAACCCTCGTTTGGATTCTTTCGGTCCCTTCCACAGTTGACTGTCTGCTCTTGGCATCTTTTGTCCACCTCTTGAGGATATAACGTGACGGGATACTCGAAAGACCGCGTATTTGGAGTACATACATACAGTGCCTGCAGAGGAAACCTTTATACTCGAACATCAAGCACGAACACGAAACCTCCATTTTCGGCTTGTTCCACGTGACCGTGAAACTCTCCGACTTCTCACAGTCAAAGACTCTAAGAATCGAGTTCCCTCCGTTTTCCTTCTCTTCCCTCGGATGACACCCGACCACTCCCAACACCTCGACTTGGAATTTCCTAAATATCGCGTGCGTGTAAATCGACGACATCTGTTTTTCCCAAGGCGAAGGAGATTTGAGAGCCGGCTGCTTGTGCCACGTGTCGAAATCCGCCACGTCCTCTTCCTCGTACCTGCTCTGGAGCATCACCCCGTATTGCCTCACAAATTCCTTCACGTTGAGTTTCTTGTGAAAGAATCTGTCGAAGTGTGACCTCACGCTCTCACACCGCTGGTGAGTGGAAAATCCGCCCAAAAACGTGTCCCGCATGAATGCCGGGACCCACTTCTTGCGGTCAGCATAAATCGCGTGGACCCACTCGTTCTCCTGCAGCTCGAACCGGCTCACCATCTTCCACCACCTCATATCGAACTCCTCGTCGGTCAACGATTTGTGCACGCACTTGTTGAATTTCTTCAAGAAATTCTCGTTCTGCTCGAGCACGTGGCCGAGGGCTTCGGGCACTCTTTCCAATACATGCCAGAGCGCGAAACAATGCCGAGAATACGGGAAAACTTCTTCAATACCCAACTGCAACCCTTTATCTCGATCGCTGATTATGGTCTTCGGGGCCTGCCCGCCCATTGCTCTGAGCCACGTCTTCATCAGCCAGACGAGCGACGGCTTGGACTCGTCTGCCAGCAAGGCGCACCCTAGCAGCATGAGCTGAAAATGATGGTTCACGCCAAAAACGAGCGCGATCGGCATTTTTTCGCAGCCCTTCACGCAACTCGTGTCGAAAAAAACTACGTCGTCAAAGCTCGTGTAATCCGTTCTGCTTTTCCCGTCGACCCAGAACAAGTTCCTCACCCGCTGCTCCTCGTTCAAGTCGACCGCGTAAAAGAAAGACGGACTCTCCTTCTGGACCCGAATGAAATACTCCATCATAACCTGAGCATCACCTTCCTCCAGAGCCAAATGCCTGCCCAGCTCGAACTCATTCCACCCGGAGAAGGCTACGTGGGGCCCGCAAAACTGCCTGCACATGTCGACATAAGTCTTCCTCGTCCGCTCGCTGACCACGTGCAGGATGTCCACATTATTCTTCTCCGCCAGCCTGGCGCCCCCGTGGACTCGGAAGTGGTACGCGAGGGCTGGGAGGAGCTCGTGATTGTGCTCCCTCACGAGCTCGTACACGTACCATTTTCCGTCTCGTTTTCTCTTCACGTGCATGCTGGCCTTGCAGTCGGTTTTGCGAACGCTGGGCCGCCGGCTGACTCCACTGTCGGATTCCGGCGTGAGGCCATACCTCGAGCAGGCGAACTTGGCGTCGATGAATTCTTTCGTTTTTTTCGAGCGGCGGCTGTTTTTGATGGAGGTGGTGAAGCCCATGGACTTTGCATAGTTCTGGTAGAACGAGTAGGCGGTTTCATGGGATTCGAACTCGAGCCCGTCGAACGGCTCGAGGCTGTCGAGTTCGGTTCCGGAAGGGTCTCGTCTGGGGTGAGAGTTCCCCGCGTGGGCCACCGTGAGAGGGGGCACACCTTGTCCGCTGCCATCTACATTGTCTTCGAGATCTACCATCTCATTTTAGGGCTGCTTTTGGAGAAATGGGTCAAATTCAATCTTCTTCTGGAAATTATACGACACAACACCCCTGTTGTTAGGCACTGAATCAATAGTGAGGATGACCTCGCCAAAACTAATAAAAGTTCCGATTTATTTTTTTTTTCTTTCCCTCTTTTTTCCTTCATTTTCACCATAAAAATGGTGCAAATAATCGACAGAAAAGCTAGCTACTTTAAACAGGAAAATCACATAAATCAGCACCCTTTTCCAATTTCATCAAGAAGATCCAGATTTGAGAGTACTTGAATCCGTGAAAGTAGAATGCGATGAAGGAAATAAGAAGGAAAAAAGGATCGACAATTCGACAGAAATCCAAACAGAAGGTTTTCGACTAAGAGAACAATAGCTTACCGAATGGGCGGAGCTTCAAGAGATAATTGGATTCACGAATTTTATCATTTCCAGCAGAAACTTCGGCCAGCTTAGAATTCTTCAAGGGTTTTGCGCTGTGAAAACTGAAATAATGAAATATTTTGTTCGGAAAAGGGCAAAGAAATAATAAAGGGGTAAGACAATAATTTTGACTTTATTTTGATTTTTTATGTTTTCTCTTAACAAATAATTTTGGCTTTACTTTTTTTTTTTCAAATAATTTTGGCTTTACTTAAAAGAATACTACATGGAATATGTGTTTTCAATACTGTACCTTAAATACTTAAATACTGTACCGTAATTGTACCGGTCTAGTCACCGATAATATTGATGGTATTAACAGACTAGCAAATATAATAATATATATAAATATACATGAAAATTTATAATTACAAATACAAAAAAGTAAAAAAAAAAAATCATAATTATTAATTTCAACTTCTCAATGAGATAAAAATAAAAATTCTAAATATCAATTTAAACTTTATGTTTTTAAATTAACAAAATTAGATTATTTTTTATTTGTTGAATTGTGTATTTTAGATTGGTATTTTTCGATATTTACCATATGATCTCGGTACAAACTGGTGTAACCATAAATCCAGTATTTTGTGTGTAATTGTACCGTACCAATGGCTGGTATCCGAAATTACCAGTCGATATGATACGGTACTTTAATCATTACATGGAATAAAGTATTTTTGTGCAAGGTATGTGGTATGTCAAAGACCTCCAACCGGTTGGAATCGGCCTAACCTTGAGCTCATCCGCAGCTTAAACGCCTTTAGACCTGCAAAATTCTCACACCAAAAATGTTTTCCGGTGAAGAGCCTTCGAAACTTAAGTTAGCACTTGTGGATGATGAAGTGTATTATGAAAATGTATATAGAGAGTGTAATGTGATAATGGGCATATCCACTCCTTTATGTAAGAGATTGATGATGACTGACTTAATTACCCATGAGTAATTAGAAGACAGATTATTCTAATACTATTAATGGCCCTTTGGAATCATTTTTGACGGTCAACTTAGTTCAAATCGGTACAACTGAACAATGACTGACTTCCGACAGCTGAAGAAATAATTGATTGATCTTCAAGTTTCAAAAACCGACTTCACACTAAAGACAAAGGAAGTTGACTTCACAGACGTTTATATCAAAGATTATCCATTAAACCGAGGTCTGAAAAGATTGATTTTCCAAGCAGGAGACGTTGTATGCTTGTGATTGGACTAACAAAACCAAAGAATAATCATTGATGTCCCTCATTCCATTACACGCCGCTTTATTAAAACCACTCAATATTAAATACGATCTGATCTACCTCGGACAAAAAGACAAAATCGCCGTACTATAAATAGAAGAATTTATTGCTATACGGGGATCCTTTTTTGAACACATTGTACACGGACTTAAAAACATTTTGGTGATGAACAAAAAACCGACTTCTTGTACTCTCATGAAACGATCAATAATATATATATATATATATATATATATATGCTTATTTCTTTTTAAATACACCTTGCTGTTTGTTATTTTGAGTTGTTAAATTTCATACAACAATAGATATAATATTTTGTTGCCCAAGACTGCTCGAATGGGTTGCCCAAATTATTCGAACTGCCCGATAGTACTGCCCGAACTTCTCGATCTGCCCTAATTGCTTAACTATGTTAGGTCACGTGGCCCTATCTACGTGGGACTCTTAACCCCTTAAGATTCATTCTTATCCATTGGTCTTTCCTACTAGATTGCCTAATGGTGCAACCAATTCGATGTCGTTTGAGGTAGAACGTTGTCTGTTCTGGGCCTAATGTTGTCCTTTTGGTCAATCGCACGACCATTCATGCCTACAGTTCGAGTTTCCAGCAGGACATCCGAGGACCCTAGCTCGACCTGGCGTTGTCCTTGTGAAACCATAGCTCCTTTCGACATGAAGATGTCTTCTTGTTGTTCGATCTCTCGACTGCTCTGCTACGACCACCCAGTTCATTCAACCTGATTGACCGGTTCATTGCACTTGGTCTTCCAGATATGGTATCCCATATCATTATGTATTGTAACTTACCATGATTACAATACGGCTATAGGAATACAATATAATACATTTTATATAATATGTATATTTATAATAATAAATACAATTTTACTTTTAATCATATTTGAAATTTAATTGTTCAATTGTATAATAAATAAAACTCATATAAACAATATCACATATAATTTACTATTGCCCATTAGTAAAGTGTAAAATTTAATAATTAAAACTATTTTTTTATATAAATAACTTATGGGTATCCAAGTTTGTAAACCTCATCGAAAACTCCATATTCTATAGAATATAACAAGAATTTGATATGGGATAATATACCTAGAGGAGTGAACCAGTCCAGCAAGCCAGCCGGGCAAACTGAACAAGCCGTTATGGTCGAACAGAATCCAAACAAGATGGTCGTGGACCCGTGGTCGAACGTCACAGGAACAGGAGCCTCGGGGTTAGGAGGCAGCTTACAGGGAATTCCAACACATGGAAATAGGTCGATCCCAGATCAGACTTTCTAGACTCGGAGCAGTCAGTGGATCGACCTAGACTTGATTGAGCATAAGAGCCTTCGAGGAGATTTCAGAGGATCAAACCCCCACGTGCGGAGGACACGTGGCACGACCTGATTGGTCCATATTGCATAACCGTCCCTGACACACTTCCAGTGTGTGTTGTACTACAAGGCAGACCGGGCAGCTTTTGGGCAGCCACCTCAGCTCATCCGGACAGGTTTCTAGAAGCAAGTACCCCACCATTATATATAATGGCGGACTTTACAATTTGAGCACGATTTATCCATTATACTCTTGAGAATTGAATTTTGAGTGATATTGACTTAAGCATTGAAGACTCTTCATAGAAAACCCCTCTAGGGTGAGAGTTTTTGCAGGTACTTGGCGTTCTACCGGCGAGAAGAAGTTCGAGCTCGTGTTCATTTACGAATAAAATAAAAATATTTTTATATTTTAGATATTCTATTAAGAATATTATGTAAACATACAAAAATTAAAATAAAATTATATTAAATTAATGTTCACGAAAATTATCAAACGTTCGCGAATGGGCTCGTGTTCGTTCGATTATTAAACGAGCCTAAGATCTGTTTGAACTCGGACTCGATTAACAAACGAACGAGTTCTTGTCGAACATGAACGAGCTTTTGTTCGATTCGGTTGCTCTATGCTTACCCTTCTTTCTTTCTTTCTTTTTTCATTTTTTTTCTCTCTTTCTCGAAAACCCAATGTACCTTACCCCGTTAAACAAGCCACGGATACCCTACATACATGATTTGGAAGATACTTAAGTCAACGATTGACGCCATTTTGAACTTTTTTTTGGTTCTTTATTCTTTTGCCTTACATTTTTTTTAAGTAGATTTTTCTGGTCAAAGTCACTCTCACTTCAAAATTGATTTTTTTCTTCAAATGTCATTAGAATATTTTTTAACATCCAAAGATACAAATTAATCTAAATTACCATCCATTCTTGTCCAATTTTTCCTTTTATTGGTGCTTAGGATTTCAACTTTAAATAAACAAGAATACATAAATTTTATTATTGAGTTGTCTAGCTATATGAAATATATTGTTAGGTTGTTTAATCTTTATACTTTTCTGACAAAGTACACACTTAAATTATAAAATACACGTACATTTTTTAATGATAAATTTTAAAACAGTAACATTTTAAATAAAACAAAAATATATTCATGTTTTAGAATATAATACGACTATATAAATTATTGGCTGAATAATAAAAGACCCACCTATAATAATAATGTGCATTTCTAAAATTTATATATTTTGTCCATTATACGTCATAATAAATGGTGGGACCTAAGAAAGCCTACCCGCATTAAATTATTAATTGGATTAAAAGCCCTTTCTTTTTCTTTATTGCTACCAGAACGTTGAGTGCATCTATGGACCCAAAAAAAGCTTATTTAGCTGCACTTTACCAACTTCATTTGTTGCGCCACACACACAATTTCACACACACAACGAGCCCCCTTCTCAACCCTCCGCCGCCGCCCTTGTCCGCTAGCGTTTTCTGTACTTTGTTTCCAACTGCGGACAAAAGTGTGAACCTTCGGTGTTTTTTTGTATCTTTTTCCTTGGACCATTCCCAAATCTGAGTAGAATATTCGGATTCTTGGAGGACTAGGTGAAAAGGGTTCTCCCTGAAATATCATATTTTTTTGCCATTCGTTTGTTTTATGCTGCTTGTTTATTTTCGCCTCTTTTGTTTTGATTTATTTAGTAAAAAAGAAAGCTTTTTGCAAAAACCCGTTTGCTGTAAAGTTGATTTTTTTTTTCTTTTTTTTTCCTGGTTTAGGGAAAGGAGGAAAAAGAGAACTGCAGAAGTTGACCTATCCCCAGAAACAGGGAGGAGAGTAAGAGAGAGAGAGAGTAGGGAGAGGTATTGTGTGTGCCAATTGAGGGGAGAAGTGCAGTTCTGAAGAAATAAAGTGATGGTGAGAAAGCATGGTTGGCAGTTGCCTGCACACACCTTTCAGGTTTTGTTTCAGCCCAATATTCTTCCTTTTTTTCTATTTTTTCTTGTTCTGCCTACTTTATGTTAGTCAATTGCCTAATTGAATTGCTGATGTGGTTT